AAGCTTCAGTTGCAGCTAAACCAGGAGAAGGCCAACCTACAGCTGGAAAGTGAAGAGCTGAATATCCTCATCAGGTGCCATAGCATCCTTTCCCTGCCCTTTTCTAGTGCCCCAGCTGGAATTGATTTCTCTTCCTTGTTTTAGATCTATTGTGCATTATCAAAGGCTGATGTAGATTTGGGCACTTCCCGAATGAGCGTTGCTGGTCTTGGCCAAGAGATTGAGAACAGGAGAGCCCCTGCTTTGGCTCCTCATTAGAGTACCTCCTGGGAAAGGAGAAAATCAGTTCAGAAAGATAGCTTTTGTGGCCCTGGTGCTATGCAGGTGAACTGAAAATAAAATATCTTGGAAGTTGATCAGTAAGGAGCACAATTGCAGATACAATTGTAGGGGTTTATTAGTGGGCAGAGATTACTTTATTAAGAAGCACCTGGAGGGCACTTGGGTGGCTTAGTCGGTTGAGTGTCCAACTTTTGACTTTGCCTCAGGTAATAATCTCACAGTTCCTGAGTTTGAGCCCCACGTCGGGCTCTGAACTGACAGCGGGGAGCCTGCTTGGGATTCTGTCTCTCCCTCTCTCTCTCTCAAAATATACCAAAAAAACCCAAAATAAAACCTTGGAAAAAAAAAAAAGCAGCACCTTTATGGCTCCGTCAGTAGAGCATGTGACTCTTGATCTCAGGATCATGAGTTCAAGCCCTATGCTGGGTGTGGAACTTACTTTTTTTTTTTTTAACATGGTTAGCATGTGGCATAGCGCATATATATATACGTGTGTGTGTGTATACACATATATACATATATGTGTATATATATTTTTATAATTTATTGTCAAATTGGCTAACATACAGTGTGTGAAGTGTGCTCTTGGTTTTTGGGGTAGATTCCCATGGTTCACCACTTACATACAACACCCAGTGCTCATCCCAACAAGTGCCCTTCTCAATGCCCATCACCCATTTTTCCCTCTCCCCCACCCCCCCCATCCACCCTCAGTTTGTTCTCTGTATTTAAGAGTCTCTTATGGTTTGCTTCCCTCCCTCTCTGTAACTGTTTTTTTCCCTTTCCCTTCCCCCATGGTCTTCTGTTAAGTTTCTCAAGATGGGTGTGGAACTTAAGAAAAAACAACAACAACAACTGTGGAATTGAAAAATTTGAAAGATGGGATTTATTCTCCCATGGCCCAGGGTGTGAGGAGCATGAATCCAGTGAAAAAAATAGGGAATAGCTGTCCCAAAATAGGTCCATCTCTGGATTTACCTCCTGCATCATTCTAGAGCATTCTACCCCACCCCCAACCCAAATGCTGTTACCCTTATTGGCTTTGGCCCTCCTGTCCATTTATAGGTGTTTTAAGGATTTCCAATTGCAGCAGGCCAATAAGATGGAGTTGCGAAAACAACAAGAAGATGTGAGTGTGGTTCGTCGCACTGAGTTCTACTTTGCTCAGGCACGATGGCGTCTGACAGAGGAAGATGGACAGCTAGGAATTGCTGAACTAGAGCTGCAGCGGTTCCTCTACAGCAAGGTATCGGGTATATACAGTCACATAAAGGCAGCTGTATTGAGAGACATTGACCTATCACAGGAGTCTTAACTCGGAGAAACAAAGAGGCTAATTATTATATGATTACTAATGCTGGTATTAATGGTTATTAATGATGATACATGAGCAGAGTTCCCTTTAGACATAGTTGTTTGTAATATTAAATAATACAGATATAGATGAGCTTGATCAAATGCTTCTTTCATTGAATAAGATTATCCCTAGAAATATGGCCCAGAAAGAAGTAATCTTCCAATACCAGCTTGGAATAGAATTAATTCTATACTGACATTCAGCTTTCCTGCAATAAATGGAGGAGAAGACATGATTCATTATTCCACACTCCTTCCCCCTGGGAGTTTGGAAATGAGTGAGACCATTTTTGACTATCACAGTAATTGGGAAGGATTACTGGCACTTAGTGCTCTTGTTAGTAGTGTCCATGAGAAACACTGGATTAAAGGGTGAATTGACTGTATGGAGATGAAAGGGATACCAAAGGTTGGGATTAAACATATGGAGAACCTGAAAACAGGATATGTAGCAATTCTCTAGCAAGCTCCTGAGAAAGACTTATAATAGTGTGTGGGGTGGGGTTGGGGGGGAATCTGTCTTTATAGGTGAATAAGTCTGATGACACAGCAGAACATCTTCTGGAATTGGGCTGGTTCACTATGAACAACCTCCTCCCCAATGCTGTCTATAAGGCAAGTCTTATTTCCCCATTCCTGCCCCATTCTCAAGCTTCCTAACGCAGGGCATTTGTAATGGCCCTTCCCCATAAACCCACTAAGGGAAATACTGTGGTGATCTGAGAGGTGAAAGCTTGTCTAGCTTAGCAAGACTGTTGCTTTTCCTCTTAGTCTGCAGGGATTTGTGGGTAGATTTATCACTCTTTATCTTACAGGTAGTCCTACGGCCCCAGAGCTCCTGCCAATCTGGGCGACAGCTAGCCCTCCGCCTTTTCAGCAAAGTCCGGCCCCCTGTTGGGGGTATTTCTGTTAAGGAACACTTTGAGGTTAGTAAACAGTCCTTTGGGGACCCAGGAACAAAGGGCACTCAAAAGCTATCTGTGTGTCAATGTTACATTAGGGGTAGGTAAACTGAGGGATGATGTCTGAGCTTAATTGCTTCTTCAGCCTTTTTCCTCTTTAGGTAAATGTGGTGCCTCTCACCATCCAGCTGACACACCAGTTCTTCCATAGAATAATGGGCTTTTTCTTTCCTGGCCGAAGCGTAGAAGATGATGAGGTTGGTGATGAAGAAGATAAGTCCAAACTGGTGACTACTGGTGAGAACTTTTATGGTGGAGATCCGGAAGACTGGGGTAGCAGCCTCAGAGATAGCTGAAGCTTCAGAAAGAGGACAACAGCTGGTGTGCTTGCTTTTTCATAGGAATACCAGTGGTTAAGCCTCGGCAGCTGATTGCAACAGATGATGCAGCACCACTGGGCCCTGGGAAGGGTGTTGCACAAGGCTTAAATCGGAGTTCTGGTGTCAGAAGATCATTTCGGAAAGTACCTGAGGTACCAGACATGTCCCTAATGACAGAAAGATGGAAGAATCCTAGGGTTCTGTTTGGGTCAGCTGAAGATTTCTTCTGTTTCCTGAGTCTTTTCCAGGGATGAAAGGAGATGGAGATGTTTGGGGTTCTAAGTTTCTTTTGATGGTTTCAAGAACTCATATTCGTTTCCTGCCTTTCCTAGCACCCTGTGGATGATATTGACAAGATGAAAGAGCGAGCTGCCATGAACAACTCCTTCATCTACATAAAGATTCCACAGGTTCCTCTCTGTGTCAGCTACAAGGTCTGCTCCTCCCTAGTACTTTCTAGAACAGGGTGGGAAGGGAACCAGATAAGATCAGAGATTAAAATTAGGCACGACAGTCTAAATTGTGAAGATGGTCTTTGGGTAATAATCTGCTGTTCCCTCTGCTGCCTTCAGGAGTCAGTACTGTTACAGGATGAGGTAAAGGGAAATCAGTATCTTTAGATTGCTGCTGCAGGAAAGTGCTAGACTTGGGACTCAAGTATTAGATTGGACTGTGTGTTCACTTCAGCAGCACATATATTAAAAAAGTATTAGCTTTGGACTAAAAATGGCAGCTGATCTTTTCGCTCTTCTTTTCTCTCCCCTCTCCCTCCTTCTCTTGCAGGGTGAGAAGAATAGTGTGGATTGGGGTGACCTTAACCTTGTGCTGCCCTGTCTGGAGTACCACAACAACACATGGACATGGCTAGACTTTGCCATGGCTGTCAAGAGGGACAGCCGCAAAGCCCTGGTTGCCCAGGTATCCTGCCAGAGTTCATGGCTGTTTGGTTAGCAGGGGCTGACAAACAGGTCCTGTGCTCAGGAGCATTTCATTGTAGGACATATGTAGGACAAGTAGCCTTGGCAACGGGCAGGTGCATGAAGTGAGCAACTTCTATCCCTGCCCTCTCCATGACTTTGGTCAGATGTTTAAATGTTTACACTTATATATGTTAACTGCTGTTGAGTTTTAGGGAACTGAGGGCTGACGCAACTTCAGGTTTAGAATAGGTTCTAATTAGACTGTAAGCTTCTTGAAAGCAGAGATCATTTTATAATTTGAATGGCCACATTGTGCCTTCATGTAAGCTTAACAAATCTTTTTTGACTTGGTTCACAGTGATTTATTCTGCCTGTTCCACTAATATTTACCTTCCCTTTTACTCCTCTCTAACCTACCAGGTAATCAAAGAGAAGCTAAGGCTGAAGCCTGCAACAGGGTCTGAGGTCCGGGGAAAGCTAGAAACTAAATCAGATCTCAACATGCAACAGCAGGAAGAGGAGGAGAAAGCCCGACTCCTCATCGGTTTAAGTGTGGGCAACAAGAACCCTGGCAAGAAGTCCATCTTTGGCAGGCGCAAGTGATCCAGCATGCAAGAGTGGCTGCAGTACAGGATCTGACTTTGGCTCAGGCCCCAGGGACTTGTGGGGTGGGAGGCGCTTCCCCTCATCCATCAGGATTTGTGGTGGTCAGGAGCTCACAGGGTACTGTGGAGAGAGGCACTGCTCTTTTAGCAGCTGGCCTGTTCCCTGCAGAACACGGTGGATAATAATGCTGAGTTCTACCTCACACTGATCAGCAGGGCCAGAGAGGCATCAAGAGAGCAAGACCCAGGGATTGGGCCCAGGATCAGGATCTGGTTCCCTTGGGGCCAACTGAAAGGGTGGGAGGGACAGTACTGATCAAGTGTGATAAATTTTTATAGACCTATATATAAATATATACATATATATTTCTAAGTGTAACTGCTCTCCCTCTGTGCCAGAAAGTTGAGGGGAGGATCCGCTCTCTCCCTCATTCCACTGCCTTGTATAGGAGGTATTAGGGTTCTGGGGGGAAATCAGCCCCTCCTCAATCTGTGCCAAGTTCACTTGGGAAAATGGCAATAGGAGTCAGGGCTGGCCATGGATCCCCCTGGGGCATGCCCTGGAGAATGGTAAGAAAATGACTTAAAGAGAAAAAAATCTATTTTAGTTATTAATTTTTTTTGGTGTGTTAAGTACATGGGTTCAACCTGTGTCCTTCCCTCCCCATCAACCCAAGACACATCCTCTAGCTGCCACTCTAATGAGGATGGCCTCTTCCCTCCTCCATGAAGCCCTATCACAGATACTTCCCAGCTCTGGTGTGACACTGGCCCCTTGCTGATAGGTCTCTGCACATTTTAGTTCTGGCTATAAGCTTATTCATAACTGGGGTGGGCAGATAGGATTTGAGGATGAGTGGGGTTTGGCTGCATCCACTTACATCTCTAGTCATGAATAGCAGGGAAGAGGCGGGGCTCATGTGTAATGTAGCATCAGGGGGAGGAATCGCTTATGTAACTGGGACAACAGATTTAGCAGGTAGAGGAGGCAGAGGCTTTGGATGGGAACAGTAAGCTGTCGGCAGGGGCAACATGCCCGGGTGGTTGCTTCTCATAAGGTAGGCTGTGGGGCTCTGGCAGCCTGTTTAGGGGAGGTGAAGGGGGGACATGGGCTTGAGGCCTGGGAACTGACCAGTGAGGAGAATGTTAGTGATGCCCACTGTGGAGGTGAAACAGGAGGCTATACGGTGAAAATATCCCAACCCCATACTGAGAGGTACAGGACGAATTTCTGATGCTTCATGGAGAAAATGTCTACATACTGATTTCCTAGAGGATTTGAATCATGTCCAGGAAATCTAGGCCTTGGCCCAAAACAAGGGTAGTAGCAATTTTGCCTGGTGCTCAAAAACATATCTCTAAGGTTAAGATTTGAGGGTATGCCCTCTAAGATGGGCAGAATTTGTAATGCCTCAAGGGCAGAGGTTTAGAGTGGCTCCCTTGGTTCTCAGCAGGGTGGCAACATCCAGGGTCCCTGGGTCCGAGGCTGGAAGAGCCTCTGGTCAGGTGTGGGAACTGCCAGGTCAGGTCTGGAAGAGCTGTGGGGACTACGGGGGCATCAGTGCCTACACCAGGAGCCCCTGGAGCCGACCCCGTTGCTAATAGAGAAGCCTCTGTCTGAGTGGCCAGTGCCTCAGTTCGTCAACCTTTTTCTGCCGGAGTTTCCCATTAGGCCTCTTACAGGGCATCACCAGCTGAAGGTAGGTCAGTCCCTGGAAGGGGTCTCAGTCTTGGGGAGACATCTAGAAATGGCCAGAGTTTCAATCACCCTATTCTTAATTTCTCTGTACAGATTTTAGGACTTGTGGCTAAAGGCTCCTTTGGAACAGTCTTCAAGGTGCTAGATTGTGACCAGAAAGCAGTATTTGCAGTGAAGGTAGGGACCTAGGTATTCCATATCATTCTCTAGTGTCTGCTTCTATTCTTGGTTTCAGAAAGGTTGGGAGGCATAAACAACGCATAGGAGTCATCACTCCTCTCCTTTTATAGGTGGTGTCCAAGGTAAAGGTCCTACAGAGGGACATCCTGAGGCAGTGCAAAGAGGAGGTTAGCATCCAGGTATGCACAGAGCCCAGGAATGGAGCCTAGGAAGAACTAAACCACAGATGGAGAAAGCACCTTTCCTGTCCAACTGCCCTGCTCTTCCTTATTCTGCCCCCTCCCTCTGCTTCAACCAAAGCAGATCCTGGGAAAGGTAGTTAGCAGCAGCTAATTCTAGGTCCTTCCAGGGAAACCTCTCTAGCATGTCCTGGTGTGTTCATAGTATCATGCTGGTTTTGGGATTACCAGACAGGCAGTCCCTACTATTTTGTTCACCTGAACTTAGAGGTAGGGCAGCAGCTCCTTTTCTGCACAACTAGGTTAAATCCTGACTTCTTGGCTGTCTTGATCCTCAGTGCCCTTTTTCCTCCCTAACTTCCTGTTTTTTTCATCCCTAGCGACAGATCAACCATCCTTTTGTACACGGTTTGGGGGACAGCTGGCAGGGAAAACGACACCTCTTCATTAGTGAGTGGTCTCTCTCATTTCCAAGAGTCGTCCCATTGTACTCCACCTGAGATTACCTATCCCTTTGGCTTGTTCTCCCTTGGCTGTTTCCCTTCTCTGAGTGTTTCTGTCTCCCAAAGGGAGGGAACAACATGTGGCATCAGTTTGGGCAAGAGGCCTAAAATGCCTTTGAGCCCAGGCACATTACCCCCCAATATCACCTAGACTTCTGGTCCTTTGCAGTGTGCAGCTACTGCAGTACAGATCTGTGCTCCCTGTGGTCCTCTGTCGGCTGCTTGACTGAGGCTTCCATCCGCCTCTTTGCTGCTGAACTGGTTCTGGTGCTGTGTAAGTGAAACAGAAATGGTAATGGAAATGAGGGAAGACTTAAGGGGGAGGGGCAGAGAGAAGTGGTATTAACTCTGGAGGTCAAAGAACAGGAATAGGGATGGGATGGGAACTACCAGGGAAACTGGAAAGACAGGAGAGCTTTAGCACACCCCATTACTTGCTGTCATCCACAGGCTATCTCCATGATTTGGGCATCATCCACCGAGATGTGAAGGTAGAGTTAAGCATTTTTTCTCTGTCTGAAGTGGGGCATCAGTAAGAAGTACCAACGGATCTAAGAAGGGAGAGGGGAGATGAGGATAGCTGACCTTGGGGCCCTCAAGGGTGCTAAGGATTTGGGCAAGAGCCCTCAAAGTATAGACTTGAATGCTGAATAGGGCATCTTCCTCAGCGGACAGGTATATATGATAAAAGAAGGTCAAAAGGAAGATGAATAACCTCTCACTTGTGATTTTTCAGATGGAGAATATCCTTCTGGATGAACGAGGTAAGTCCTTTCCTTTTCCTAGCCCCAGAATTAGAGGTACTGTCAGTTTGGGAATATGTCATGGCTGACAAGGGGTGGAACAGAGTGGTGCTGTTGCCTTATCTTTCACAGGCCATGTGAAACTGACAGACTTTGGTTTGTCCCGCCACCTGCCCCAGGGAGCCCGAGCCTATACTATCTGTGGCACCCTTCAGTACATGGGTGAGACAGGGGCTAAAACTGGTGGGGAAGCATTGGCAGAGGATAGCCAATTGATGTCAGTGACACCTGTCTTTCAAATCTAGCCCCAGAGGTCCTGAGTGGAGGGCCTTACAACCATGCTGCTGACTGGTGGTCCCTGGGTGTCTTGCTTTTCTGTCTGGCAACTGGGAAGGTGAGAAGATGGTAGGGATGTTGGGCAAAGAGAGGAGCTCTGCCCTGTAGTGGGAAGAACTTAGGAAATCTTGCCTTATTCCTACTAAACAATGCTACCACTGCCCCCCACCCCCATTCCCCACCTCTTAACTCAGTTCCCAGTGGCTGCAGAGAGGGATCATGTGGCCATGTTGGCAAGTGTGACACACTATGATTCTGAGGTCCCAGCTTCTCTTAACCAGGGGCTCTCACTCCTGCTCCATGAGGTAAGAGTGAACACTACTTTCCTTCTTGACTACCAAACCATTCAATTCTCTCCTTTCCCTATTATTGAAATGAGATTTCCCCATTCCTCTAATAATTTGGTGAGTGTGTGTATGTGTGTGTGCGTGCGCACGTGCTCTAACTTGATCAAATGCCATCCTCCCCATGCATAGTCAGTCACTTCTGAGAGAGAGGGCCAGTGCTGCTCTTACCAGGACAGTGCCTCTATTCCCACCTCTGCCCCCAATAATTTCTCCCTCTTTCAAATCCTCTTTAGGATTCTTCTTCCTGCCCTCCACAGCCCATGAACTTCTTTTCCAGCTTTTCTGGTTAGCCCCTCTCCTATCTCATCTATCCTTCATGCTCTATTTGCCTTCAGCTCTTATGCCAGAATCCCCTCCACCGTCTACGTTATTTGCATCACTTCCAGGTCCACCCTTTCTTTCGGGGTGTGGCCTTTGACCCAGAGCTCCTACAGAAGCAGCCAGTGAACTTTGTCATGGAGACACAAGCTACCCAGCCCAGTCCATCGGAGTCCATGCTTTTCAAGAACTTTGACTGTAACCTGGAGTCCTACCTGGTCCATCCCAGCCTTGCTTGAGCCCCTCTACTGTAGATTGGGGCCTGAGAACCCAAGGATCTCCTCCACTGCCAACTCAGTATGACCACTTTGATGATCTTGTTTGTTTTTACTCTGTAGCCTCTTACTATTCTGTTCTTCTACTTGTTGGACCAGAGTTCAAATCTTGCGCATTCTGCTATTGGCAGCCACAATTGGCCCTACCCCTCCCTACTCCCTAATACAACTCACCTCTCAATTCAACATCTCGGATCAGTGTTGACCTTTTCCTTCGCTGCATTTCTCCAATGCTCATACCCTGAAGCTTTCAACCAGAGGCTTATTCTACTTTTCCCTTTCCTTGTTTCTCTGCCGTATTTCCTTTCTTGAGAAGTAACACTTCACGGAGTCTCAAGGTGCTGTTTATGTGTTTTATAGGTTTCTCAGAAGTAGTATGAATGTTTTTCAAAAGTCTCAAAAGCTGGCATTTTAACCCCTAAATATGTAGCTAAAACATGTGATCTGGGGGCTCAAAGCCAGTCTATGATAAATCTAATGTTTAAAAATTTCAAAAGTGAATCTAATAGCCTAAATGTGAGGAATAAGAACTGAAATATGGATGGGTTAAATGTCTTTTCTAGGGCTAATTGGAACAGCTATTGAATTTTTTTTCCAAAACAAAGTCTCCTTGGAAGACACAAGGATTATTAAACTGAGTATTTCCCTAGATGACCTGGGATTCAGTTTCTGATGGGCAAACCAAGGGATTAAGAGGCATGACATCAGCCTTAAGATCTAAGGTTAGAGATGTACTTCAAAAACCTTTTCCTTTTTATTTTTTAAATATATATTTTTTAATGTTTGCTTTTGAGAGAGAGACAGAGCGTGAGCAGGGGAGGGGCAGAGAGAGAGGGAGACATAGAATCCGAAGCAGGCTCCAGGCTCTGAGCTGTCAGGACAGAGTCACATATGGGGCTCGAACTCACAAACCGTGAGATCATGACCTGAGCCAAAGTCGGACACTTAACTGACTGAGCCACCCAGGTGCCCCTCCTTTTTATTTTTTAAATTTTTTATTTTTTTTATGTTTATTTACTTTGGAGAGATAGGGAAGAGCATGAGCAAGGGAGGGGCAGAGAGAGAGACACACACAGAATCCACAGCAGGCTCCAGGCTCTGAGCTGTCAGCACAGGGCCCGACGTGGGGCTCGAACTCACCAACCGTGAGATCATGACCTGAGCCGAAGCCGGATGCTCAACCGACTGAGCCACCCAGGCGCCCCATCCTTTTTATTTTTTAAAAAAAATGTTTATTTTTGAGAGAGAGAGAGAAGGAGAGCATGCAGGGGTGGGGCAGAGAGAAAGAAGAGAGAATTCCAAGTAGGCTCCACACTGTCCCTGCAGAGCCTGATGCAGGGCTCAAAGTCACAAACCAGGAGATCATGACCTGAGCCGAAATCAAGAGTTGGATACTTAACCAACTAAGCCACCCAGGCACCCTGAACCTTTTTCTTTAGTAAGGAAAGTCATCTGGACCTTAAATTTTATACATTTCTGGCATTTATAACTTGTTTTCATTTTTCTAAACTTCTCAAAACCTTCATTTAAAACAAATTTTTTTTAAAACTCTGTTTATTGAAGTAATCTCTACACCCACTGTGGGGCTCGAACTCAACCCCAAGATCTAGAGTCACATGCCTTTCTGACCAAGCCAGCCAGGCACCCCTCAAAACCTTCATTTTATTATCCTTCAGTTATATTTGATCTCTCTTTACAAACCAAAGAGAGTCTGGAAAGTACTCTGTGTACTTGTGTTTATTAATTCTGTCCCTGGATTAAGCCAGATTTTCCCTGTATAGCTGGCATTTTATTGGCCTCTGCAGAATTGCTTTTTCTGGATTGTACTTCGGCAATCCGTAGGAAAATCCCTGTGAAATTTAATAGCTGTGGCTATTGTAAAGGGTGTTTATCATTACAATTCATAATGTTCTGTTTAAGGATGCATGGGAAAAATTTCCTCTGAATTCAGCTGTGCTTTTCCTGAATTGCTGTTTGATTTTACCTTAAAGACATTAAATATTCAACTGACTGTAATTTTTTCTTCATATCAGTGCTATGCCACTTAGAGCCTAATTTGTGGTCCATTTCCAGCAAGTGTTTAGGACTTCACATCGTATATTTTGTATGCTGGCCACATTCTTGGTTCCATCTTCCTTTCCTATCTTTATTTTCCTTATTTTCATTTTTCTGTTTTAATCTTTTTTTCTTACTATATTATCTGCATCTTTGTAAGCCTTTTTTGGAATGAGATTGGGATATAAATGAATAAATAAATGTAACAGTAGCCCTTTTGATTATCTAATTTGTTTTTCTTCAGACATTTTTTTTTTTTTTTAGCTTTACTACATTTTTTTTAAGTTGTAGTGACCAGAACTGCACATTGGATAAAAACCCTGAATACTTGTAATAGGAATTAATGGTTTCTAAAGTAGTTAAGAATATTGGACTGGTGCCTGGATCCACCAATAACTATTTTAAGAGTCTTTACACAAGTTATCTTAACTTCTCTGAATTGTAGTTTCCTACATATAAAATGAGGGGGGTTATAATCACTGATTCTTAATTGTAGAGAATGGGCTTCTGAGTTCTGTGATGCTTTTTCAAAAAGCAGATGCTGATGATTTTATGATACTGTGTGTCCTGGTCCAGAGTTAATGTTCAGGTCACCCAACATTATATAGCCTCTCTGATCACAGCAGCATATTGGGTTAAGGTCTTTAGGACATGGTTAACATGTCACTAGGGTCCCTTTCTTAGGTCACATCAGATAGCTTTGAGACCATAATCATGTAAGTGCAGTTTGAATTATTTCTTATCAAGTGCCATTTTTAACATACTCTCTTCAATCAGTGGGGCACTATAACAGTGATTCTCAGGGTAGAGTGGAGGGGATGATAGAAAAATCAAAGTTTCAGAAAGTATAATTTAAAAAAGCACTGTCCTCACCCATAGTTTTGATATGCTCATCCCTGGAAGGTAGTCTTTCCTGCCACCCCTGACCCCCACTTAGAATCACTGACCTATGAATACCTTTTACTTATTCATGATAAAATTTTTTATTAGAATTTTATTTAAAAAAATTTTTAAGTTTAGTTATTTTGAGAGAGAGTACACACATGCACACCCGTGAGCAAGGGGGAAGGGCAGAGAGAATCCCATCACAAACTGTGAGATTATGATCTGTGCCAAAATCAAGAGTAGGATGCTTACTTAACCGACTGAGCCACTCAGGAGTCCCTAAAAAATATTTTTATATACAACCTGAAATCATCTTTTAAATTTAACCCTATGCTTTGATTTTTCATTACCTAGAAGAAATCAAATATACCTATCAAAGTGGATATTTTATGCTGCACTCCCTTGTATCTTTTCTAAGAATGTAAGATTATCTTTTCTAAGAATGTAACACCAATCTGTATATTCTCCTTCTAGAAAAGTGTCTTTGTAGTTCTACTCATTGTTTCTTACCTCTAAGTTTCTTTACCATGTATCGATCTGTTTATTAGTTCGTGCATTTAACTGGTAATCACAATTCCTTAGTTACTTCTTTAAATTCTTCAATATAAAAATCTTGTCAAAGCTTTTTAAAAATAAAATCCTATTTAATGCATTATTAATCCCTGTTACGCTGAATTGTGTCTCCACCATACCCCCCCCTTTTTTGCATTCATACATTGAAATCCTAACCCTCAGTACTTCAGAATGTGACTGTATTTGAAAAGTCTTTAAAGATGCAATTAAGTTAAAATGAGGTCATATGGGTTGGCCCTAATCCAATGATAGGTGTCCTTATAAAGAAGAAATTGGCGGGGGGGGGGGGGCGCCTGGGTGGCTCAGTCGGTTAAGCGTCCGACTCTTGGTTTTGGCTCAGGCCATGATCTCACAGTTCATGAGTTCAAGTCTCATGTTGGGCTCTGTATTGACAGTGCAGAGCCTGTTTGGGATTCTGTCTCTCTGCCCCTCCCCTGCTCGCGTGTTTTCTCTCTCTCAAACATAAATAAACTTCAAAAAAGAAGAAGAAATTAGGACACAGACATACAGAGGGAAGACCATGTGAAGATACAGAGAGAAGACAGCTATCTACAAGCCAATGGGAGAGGCCTCAGAAGAAACCAACTCTACTTGGTCTACCTTGATCTCGGACTTGTAGCCTCCAGAATTGTGAGAAAATAAATTTCTGTTGTTTGAGCCACCCAGTCTGTGATACTTTGTTATAGCAACCCTAGCAAACTAATACAACCACTATGATGAGTTCTAATATATTAATCAGGACATTTTATTTACAAAAAATCATGCTACCTTCCTCCCTATAGTTTGGTTTTGTTTATATTCTGAGGAACATATTATTTCAGATTTCACTGGCCTGAGTTTTGCTGGTTTATGGAGCCCCACTGATTAGCAGCTGTTACACTGCCTCCTTTGTTCAGAACTCCCATCATACAGGGGCGCCTGGGTGGCTCAGTTGGTTAAGTGGCCGACTTCGGCTCAGGTCATGATCTCACAGACTGTGAGTTCGAGCCCCGCGTCGGGCTCTGTGCTGACAGCTCAGAGCCTGGAGCCTATTTCAGATTCTGTGTCTCCCTCTTTCTGACCCTCCCTCGTTCATGCTGTCTCTCTCTGTCTCAAAAATAAATAAACGTTAAAAAAATTAAAAAAAAAAAAAAAAGAACTCCCATCATACATATCATACACATACTCCATCATATATACATACACCATTCATTGAAGCAGGGCTACTAATTCCACAGTTTCATCCTTGAGTTCACTTAGAACTGCCTGGTGCAGTTCTCAGAGTTGCTGATTTGGCTTATGTAATTGCATTTTTACAAAATAAGTAATATCTAATCCTAAAGTTAAAAACTACAAGTGTTGGGGCACCTGGCTGGCTCAGTTGGTAGAGCATGCAACTCTTGATATTGGGGCTGTGAGTTCAAGCCCCACAATGGGCATAGAGATTACCTAAAAAGAAACAAAAACCCAAG